GCATGATCGCACCGGCTGCCTGGTGCGCGCCGCTATTTATTATGCGTTTTGTGCTGTGTAACAGCATTACAAAACGCATATTTTCACGGGGTTGCCTGTATGTGTGTGTGTCCCACATTTTGTCCTGCACTTTTAACTCGAGAACCATACAAAAGCTAGGCGGCTGAAAACATGGTATAGTACTCCCCGTCAGCAGGAGACGCGGCGATTTTAAATTCAGCCTTTCCATACCCGCGGTTAACACGTACGGCCCCGTGAAAGTTTTCACGGGTAAATTACTATTTCGGGAACCATGGAGTCTAGGAAGCTGAAATTTGAGGGTAATGACCCCCTGCCCACGCCCAAACTTGCCCATTCAAATTCAGCGTTCCCGCGCTCCCGGGTATCACCTACGGGCTAGTGAAAATTTTGGCGGGCAAACTATTAACTCGGGAATCACGGAAAGATATCCACTTTTCAAGGTTTCGAATTCAACTTTCATGCGCTGGTGCGTGAAATTTTTAACTATTTTCCAATGTTGGGACTATTTTTGCATAGACTAAAGTAAAAAGCAGTGAAAATCATTAATAGGCAATCGTTCGATGGGCTGAATTACACAAAACGCATGGTCGCACCGGCTAGTCTAGTGCGCTTTGCTATTTACTTTTTTTTGCTTTAGATTACATGTCCCAGTCTCTTGATTTTACTTTTTTCCCTTTTATTCAGTTCAGGTTTGTTTTAAATTACTTTTCATTGTAGTGCCGTGTCGGTTTATTTTCTTCTTTATTGCTGTTTGTAGTCCTCACCTCGTACTCCTGACTAGCACTCTTGTTATCCTCTTGTATCCTGTCTCAATCCCTGCCTCCAGAGTTACATCGGAGCATAAATCACCTACCACTCCCAACCACTGCCGTCATTTATCGTCCTAAACTTCTGACAGCAAATTCACTCCTTCCCACTCTTCTGACCTCAACCTCAGAGCTGCATCTGGAAACCTGCGTCCTCCGAGCTGCATCTGGGAATCTATCAACCAACATCCACCACATGATCCAGCCACCAGAAACTAGGTAGCGCTACCCAACGCGTCTGGCGAAATGCCGAGCTGTTCTAGCGAACGACGCCGCGAAATAGCGTTGACAGAGATGCTAGAGAGCTCCCCAAAAGCCATCGACTATCGGCCGAGCCGAGCCGAGTTTTTGTAATTGTCCTTCAAAGGCCAGTATGTCGCAAATTCTAGCTACTGTGATCCGTTGCA